TATATATATATTATATACATATTATATTTATATTATATGTATATATTATATATATATTATATATGTATATATAAATTTTATATATATATATATACACATCTGTCCCTATCTATTTAGTATATTACTACTTTACTTAGGTAGGCGTCAGTAGTAGCAGTAGTTCTAGTATCCGTTTCAAGTACATATTTAGTCTGAAACTTCGTCTGGCTTTTGGATCAGATGAAGTGGTTGACCAACGCCTAGAAGAAGGAGGAGGCAAAACAATTCTATAGAAATGTTTTATAGAGTTTAATACGCATTCTATAGCATTCTATAGAATGTTTATTTTACTCTATAGAAAATTAGTTTGTTGCACAATTTATGTATTGGTGACTCTACAGTCGATTTTCAATAAATGTGTTTTTGCAGCAGCTTGGTGTTGAACATGAAACAAGATTAATAAATAATAATAGAAACTATTGCATTTGGCTCATGATCTGATGTTGAGTAACTAAATAATGCATAAAGTTTTGTAATATTTGCCGCAAATAATTATGATTCATATTTCTGTGAGAAATTTTATAGAAATCTATAACATTCTCTTTAGAAGCTGTATAGAAATTCTATAGAAAATTCTATAGACATCTATAACATTTGCTTTAGAAGTTCTATAGAATATCTGTTTGGAATTGTATACCACATGCATGTGTTACAGTATCAATTAGCATGCTCACATTTTTTATGCTTACAAACAGCAAATAGTTAGCCTTACTTACACCACATTTTAAAATTGAAATGAAAAATGAATTAATTGCACATATTTGTAACAAATACTTAATTATTCTTACAAATCTTACAGTTCCCAGTAGTGAAAAGTCAAGTGTACAAGACAGTACAGTTATATTATCAATTTGTAAATGATCCTTAATAAAGGCTTTTGTGTTTTGTTGCGGTATTTTAATTGTTAAATCAAATATATCTATATATCCATACCCATATCCGGCTCGGGCCTTCGGCCCTCAGATAACGCTGCGCACATATAGTTACACCCATACTTATCCCCCAGTCGGACATCTTAGCCCCCCCCCCACTTCCAATAAATTATATCCTTGAGCCGCCATTGATCGGAAATAGAACAAACAAGAAAATACAAACCATGTGTCTGCTTCACCTCAACATAATCGTTGAAAACATTTCTTTCCTCAAATTATACTGTAGTTAATAATTTATTTAGTTAATTTTTATGCTATTAGTGATTTTGTCGGCTTTATGAATACCAAAATATATTTGCTTTATTTTCATTATCACATCATTCAGTACATTTTAATTTATTTTATATAGACCTATGTATTGTTATAAATAGAACATTTGGTAATGTAAATGGAGACGCAACGAACAAACAAAAAACAAACTTATTACAAACTAATCCGCTAATTAGCTATAAGCCTAATTATTTTATAAATCTAAATTTTTTGAAGCATTTATAAACATGGTCCAAATATATATCGTATGGAAACGATAAAAAGAAACGTGTCTCCGAACCAATCGACTTGTAACATTTTCTTTGTTTTTGTACAGTATACAACTTGCAACAGCCAATATTGTGCACTCAGTTAAGCTGATGAAGGCGAGTGGAATGGCCGAAACTTTAAAAAATAAATACACAAAAAAGAAATAACGTTCTTCGGGAGGTGAATGTTTAAGCATAGATTTTATTTTAAAAAAATGAAGTGACTAAAAACAACACTTATAGTCTAATTAAAACAACATAGGCATAGGTGTATGGTCGGAAACTAAGGTCAAGGATATTCAGTTCAGGTTTGTGAAGATCATTTTTTTTTTCAAAACAATACATTAACCGCTTCGTATCTGTTGAATTACCATGGTGCTATGCTCTAGAAAATTACTTTAGAAGATATATTTCTAAGGCAATTGTAATGTCGACACGCACGTTATTGTTTGATTATTGTTTCGATTTGTTTAACTATTTTGTACACGATTTGAATGACGTTGTGTGAATATACGATCAACACGTTTTAGTTTTACATAGCAAATAGTGCAGATGGTAATCATCTGCACTATTTTCTATCTAAATTGTTCTGTTGGCGTCAATATTTTAACGACTAGTTTCTTAACATGTACTTAACCGCAACCTACGTTATTTCTGTCCCGCTTCACTGCCAGCTAGGGCACGAGGATTGTTTTCCAAATCTTTTCCAAGTCATGAAACAGTTCAGTATTCTTGAAATTTAAATTCAAGGATATCCTTCACTTAGGTATACATTTACGTAAGTTTCGTACCACAGTACGAATCACTACAAATACTTTATATATACATATACAAATACATGAAAGTTTAATAATAAAACTAGTATTCCCGGTTGGTCATGTCAGAAGTGAGAAAGCCGTAGCAATACTGACATTGTATCCCTAATTTTATCCAGATATCCATCAAGTATTGTATTCACATGAACATGGATTATAGAACGATTATTATAATAGATGATGATTGGGTTAAACAAAACACGTTCAGTTTAGCCGATCTCAATACACGTAGGCCTATTACTGATTCGTTACAAGAACTTCTCTAGTCAATGGTTATATAGTATTATTAATACTCAAAAAATGTTACGTATACGTATACTTATTGTAAATCTAAATTATTTTTAGTGCGAAAATTATCGTTTATCTTTAAGAGAAGTTTTAAATGGTATTACATGCAAACCGACAACCAGCGCTAACAATTTAATGTTTGAGAGAGGTCGATATACTAGACCAAAAAGTAGTCCCGACGAGAGAATCTGTAACAATTGTAATTCTGGTGAGGTAGAGGATGAGTTGCATTTTTTTAAAAACTGCACTCAAAACTCTTACCAAAGAAACACTCTATTTTCGAACGTTAGGGAAGGTATAAACAACTTTGATAGCTTTAGTGTTGTTTTATCAAGATGTTTGGTGTATCAATAAAGTATCATTAATATGCCTATAGGCCTAGTGTTTTATTTATAAGAATTTAAAAAATACCATATTTATAAAATGATATATACTATACTATATGTATGAATAATATTCATTCTGTAAGTGGTGTTTAGTACTTCCCGCGTAGTGAAATTAACTTCAGTTCAGTGATTATTCGAGGACGGAGGTTTTATAATTTTTACATAATTTTTACATGTACTGACTGTTGAAAATATTCTAATAAAGTGATAATAAGGACTGAAATATCTGAATGAACAAATCCATTTGTATATTTAGGTTACTGATGTGTGTTAGTGGTAATGGTTTTATTATTAAGACCACATGAAATCCATTATCTGCAAGCACTTGCGTTTCTACAATGTATTTGCTGGTTGGAAATGCTTCATGGTGTAGTTGCTCTTTATTACATTGTAAAATACCGCCGAGATTCGTCAGGTGAGACAAACTTGTATATATTTTTCTCTATAGGTCTATACAAGGGTGGCGCCAGCGCGGGCTGGGGCAGGGCGGCTTGGGCAGGGCGACTGGGGTAGGGCCCCGTCGGAAAAAGCTG